CACAAGCATGGAATGGAAGTGAACAAAAAAACACCTGTTGTATCCTGTTGCTTTCATCTGTCCTCCCAAAGTGGCCAGCAGCATAGACTTTCCAAAGAATCGAACCAAAGCATCTCAGTCGCGGCTCCGCGCCTGCGGGTCCACGCAGGTCACAGACGTGAGGCTCTTGCGCCCGCCTCATCCAGCTCAGTGCCAGCCCGGCACGCGATGCCAGGCGCAGGGCGGTTGTCGCGCCGGATTGGACGCAACCGGCGTGGTGGAAGGCATCCACAGTCCGGATGGTCTGTGCCTTCTTGGCCACCATTGCAAAGCCCGAACGATGGCTGAGACATGCCCAGATGACAAGACCCAGACATGCAGACCCAGGACTTGACGAGATGCCCCACAGACGGTGACTGTAGCGGTAGCGGTGGGCGAACGTCGCGGGCTCTGAACACTGAGCAACAGGTGGTAGGTAGGTGGCAGGCGACGTCCAGCTGCACGCATCGAGCCAGGCGATCTTCCCAGAAGACGGCTTGTGGTACGATTGCGTCCGTATCTCAGGGGTTGACTATGATGTGCTGTTGCTGTGTGCATTTCTCTCTTGTTTTGGGGTTGGCGCCGGGTTGGTAGTGCAAGTTTACGTCTCTACCTTCTACCGGTCCGCAATGGTTCAGGCAGGCTGCAAACTGTAAATCAAGTCATGATTTTTCTCAGGCAAATGGAAGGCCACCAAACAACCAAATAAACTCCGATTATTCATGGCATGGAGATGTTGTATGAGCGACGCCTGTTGTTCCGGTTTTCAGGGGGTACCACTCACCGGACGTGTTGACGTCGGCCCACGTCCTCTCCCATGGAGATCGGTGCTGAGATCGAAGATAGCGTCAAACACCTGGGCATGTCTGTGCGTTGAACGGGTTGGATCGGGGATGAGGTTATTACCGAGCAGACAGAGAAGGGTTACAAGCTGCTTGGCCAAGAGTCAAGGAGAAACATGCAGGTCATAAGATATTAATATAACATATATTAATTGATATTAATTGCATATGGAAGATGGAGAATGACATTTACATTCTGCTTCTCACATGGATCACCTGTCAGTTTCGGGGGTTTGGAAGATGGGTCCTTTACATACAGTCGGTGTCCAGTGTGAGTTTGTGTCGGTTTCACCGGGTTGAGCCTCGAGTCGGTCTGGCCAGAAAAGGGGACCTGCCCAACTCCTTGACTCCCTGACTCCATGACTCCGACGAGTTATTTCCTTTGTTTTCGTGAGTTCGAGACAGCTGTAGATTGGAAGAAGTGAGTTGGAAGAATGGAGCCACAGTGCTCCAACCTAACTAAGCACCCAACGGTGGGATCGCAAAAGGAAGCGACCTGCGAATCTGGATTCGCCCGACGTGACCTGTTTTGGATCTCGGAGCTCCGGGTGCGACCTGCGTGACATGGTTTCGCCACGGAGAACGTGAACAGGATCACCTTCATTGACTATGGCAGCAAGGCAGAGGTGAAGTTTGACCAGATCCGACTCCAGAGCACCGGCAAAGTCGGACAGCAGAAGCGCACCATCAAGGAGGCTGGGTTGGGATAAGTGCTGTGAGGATCGGAAAGCAGGCTAACAATGGATAAAACGAATTCTCGGATTCTACAGCAAACTGCTCGTGAGCCTGTGTGGAATTGAGCACCTCATCCTTTAAGATTTCAAGCAACGCAGCACTTCCCCCAAATGGGTTGCAGTCTTTTCTTGCTCAGGTGACGACGCCCGCTGGCTACAAGATCCCCGAGAGCATGCAGATCGCGCAGCCCGTTAGAATTGCCAGGTTGCGAGTTGACCAGCCCTTTCGAGCTGTGGGAAGCTCGCTCGCTGCTCGACACGTTGGAAGCTGAGGAAGACGGACACCGAAGACATCATTGAGGCGAAGAGAAGGAAAATCACAGCAGCTTGGCCTGTCGCTGGAGCCATCAGGCGTCCCCTGCAGGTCCTGCCGCAGGTTGGGCTAGGACTAGGATGGATCCGAGCATCAAACATCCAGTGGAGTTTGACAATGGAAGTCTTCTCCAAGAAGGTAAGAACCGTCAGAAGGAAGAACCCGAGGCCATCAAAAAGCAACAGCGCATGGACAAGCTGGAGACAGAGCATGTCAAGCAGCAGGCGGCTTTTGCTGATGCAAGCAGTTGATTGACCAGAAGAAAGATGCACCATGGCTCACGACATGGTGTTCGTGTGCTCAAACATGTCGTGTTTTGTCCAGGCATCATGGCAAAAGTTCTTCTACAAGAAGGCGGCCAAAAAAGAAGGGGATCAACTGGACACCACTTGATTGGATCCAGTTGATCACCACTGGACCCGCTAGCACACCACTAGGGACACGATCACTCGCGTTCTTTCATCCTCGTGGGTCGCACAAACGGCCGGACCGACGATCCTGGGAGCGAGGCGAGTACCCGCAGCAAGTGCGGCTTCATGTCCGGAAAGCCCAAGGATAGCATCTTCAAGGCGACCGGTCAGCGCTCCTCCTTTGGTTCTTGGTTGTTTCTTTTTTTGGGGGGGCGGGGCCGAAAGACGTTGAAGAGTATGAAGTGAGATGTCTTGCGCTGAAGGTGGAGTAGACGTGCCAACTCTGAACGCTTTCACTCGGGGCCGGCAGGTGGCCACAAAGTCAGGAGTAGACGCCACAAAATGATTCTGCATTCCGCTTCATCATTGCTTTCTTGAAGTGAACGTCACTAGCCCAATGATGCCAGACATGTGCAAGGATACAGTTATTTAATGTTCTCAAGCTTTGGGCAGAAAAGAGATGCGTCCCAGCCCGGCCATTGGAGGAATACACGTCCCAACCAAATCCCATGCCTGCCAATGCCTGCCATACCTTTTTCAGACTTCCGGTCCCCCCAAAAGGCACCCCAAGGAGCGTCCCGACCGACCAAAAACCGCCTGAGGACGTGTGTCCGGCTCCGCTCGGCTCCTGCCCGCGGCCCGGCAGGTGCCAGATGCCCTGGAGGGCCGAGTGGGCTTCATGAATAGTGGACAGGAGATGACCAAGTTCAACGAAGCCCGGAAGTTGCTGGACGGAATCCAGGAAAGTTTTTTTCCGCAAGGCTGTTTTTCTACCAACAGCAACAACAGCAACAACAACCACAACAACAACAACCACCACAACCACAACCACAACCAACAACCAACAAAAGCCAACAACAACCAACAACCACCAACCAACAACCAACAACCAACAAAAACAACAAAAACCAACAACAACCAACAACCACCAACCAAAAACCAACAACCAACAACCAACCACCACAGCCGCCCAACATAATTGTCACATGTTGTACTGTAACTTTGGAACTTCAAGGGGGCAAGGTTAGGGATACGGTTGAAGGTTTGAGCGAATGTTGGTGTCGTAAGTCGGTGGACTTGTTGGACTTGTTTCACTGAAGTCTGGGCTGGTGCGTGTTTAGTGTTTTTGAGGTGTTGTTCTGGAGGGGGGGGGGTCCAAAAAACAACAATGGGCTGCAATCTTTGTTTCTAGGAGGGGGTAGAGACAACACCTTTTGAGGGGGCGGGTCCAAAAACAACAACGGGGCTGCAGTGTCTCTAGGAGAAGTTTTACAGGGGCTTAGCCGACCAATTACTACTACTACTGCTGCTGCTGCTACTGCTACTAACTACTAGTATTACCAGGCTACTCCTACTTCTACTACTGCTACTACTAACTACTACTCCTACGGCTACCATAACAACGAATACGACTAGTACTAGTTACTAGTACCACTGGTATTAGTACTAGCACAAGCACTACCACTACTGGTAAAAGTACTTGTTGGCTGGTTGTTTTCGGGGGGGGGGTTAAAAAACAACGACGGGGCTGCAGATTTTGTTTCCACCCCCTTGTAGAGACAAAGGAACAAGATATGTTGTAACGGGGCTGCAGTTTTTGTTGTTGTCGTCCGTCGCTGACTTGAGACACCGTGGGTAGCACAGTCAAACGAAACACCTTCGTAACGTGTGCCGGTTGAGGGCCGGGCCCGCGATGGTCCAGGGGTGGTAGGATGAAGAGTTCTCACATGGCTGGCTCAAAGCTCGGGTTTCAACTGCAGACTTTTGATTCCTCCTCAGACATGGATGGTAACCTCTTCATATGGGGTTTTATTATGTTTTTACACTAGGTCGGGGGACCGTCAATTTATGCCAGTTGGAGTCAAAGACCCCCAGTGTTTGGAAGACTGGATGTGGAGGAACCACGGAAGCGGTAAACGGCAAGCAAGGGCAGTGCTGATCGGGAACACCTCATTCTCTCCGACGGGACCAACCGGCGATGGGCCAACTTCACCTTACCAAAGCCAAAGTACTGAATTTAGGGTCCTTGTTGTGGCACCGCGTTGTTGTGGCACCCTGTCTGTGCAAAGTGCTGTTGCATGGGGTGGTGTGGAAGGACAAGAGCAACCCACCTCTTGTGAAAGGTCGTTGTCCTTTGTGAGTGAACCGTTTGTGATTAGTAGCGTATTTGCATATATCTTTTAGGTACTTTCATGATGGCTCAGCACTACTTCAATTTTCGGCTATAGGGACTTATCAGCAAAAGTCAAACACTTCCGACATGTGAGCATCACAGGGCACAACATTATAGTTGAAATGCACAAGTCATGGGCTCCACGTTGGGGGAGCTGTCGTCTCAGCTGAGGTTCACCTACCAATACGTCTGAGCGCGGTGCTTGTGAATCATCCCCAGTCACCAGGGCGCCGCCAAGCCTCTTGTAACCTTGGAGAACGAGGAAAAAACGGACCAAGAGCGGATCACGGGAAGAGCCACGCGACCATTGGAACAGAACAGACCGCGAATATGGGCATGTCCTGAACTAATGTAGACTGTTGATTAATAGCCCCACCGTCTCCAGAATGCTTTGACTACATCTCCAGTGCTGGGGGCCCTGATTGATCAACCGTCTACAGTACTGTGTGCATAATGAGTGTTCCATGTCGGACTTGGGTCTTCTTCTGCAAAACATCTGCAAACGCTGAGGGCCAAGTACAGCAGTTCGACCGAGACACCACCACATTGCTGGAGCAACTGAAGGACTGCTGCGAGACGGTGACACCACCACTGGTCCCAGGTACCGAAAACCATGGCTATCGCAGCTATCGCATGTAGACTATAGGGCAGGTGTCAGAGTGGACCTGGACACGGGAAGGAGCTGCCCCGCCCGTGTTGGACTACCAGATGTCACGTCAACGAATGATGCCTTTTCGGCGACTTTTCGCTCGCGTGTGTTGACGACATGACCCCCCTCCCTCACTCCGCCCGCCCGTGAACAACGCCTTCGCCGCCGCCTTCGCCTGCGCAGCCGTTGGGGTCCCGGCCGAGCTTCGTCCGCTCGAATGGGCAAGATCGCCAGCAAGATCTGGTCGAAGGGTCTCCTGGGAGGCTTCGGGATCCCGGAACTCTCCAAGCCCCTGGAGCCCTTGACCTTTTGGTCGCGAGCAGATCTCATCGAAGCTTCTAGGCCGAACATTGGAATCATCCACCGTTCCGGTGGAATGTCTTGGGTCAAGACTCATGATGATTGAAGCATCCGTCATCGTCCAGCAGATTTTTGGGAAGATTTATTGGACACTTGGTAGGAGCCTGGGGGGTAGCAAGACACGTGTTTGCAATATATTTCCGATCCTCATCCCATTTTGGTCTTATGTTTGAGAGCAGTTTTTGGGACGGTTTTTAAGTGTAGTCTCTCAATTTCATCGGAGCCTGAGTGATATCAGCACGTCCAAGGCTTATCAGCACTTCCTGGATGATTGCAGCCAAACCTTGGACCGTCACGAGTTCACGGATGTTTTTCAGTGCTTCTCCGACACCATCAGCGCGGACGCAGCCTTTCATGCATTGCACCCGCGGAAGGGCAAGCTGGATGGAAATACGATCTTTGGAGCCGTGGTGGCCACCTCCAACCAGACCTTCATTTCCAAGGTCTCGTTGATTTACAGCATCTATGATATGGATGGTGATGGAGCCTTAAACAAGGCACGTGACTTGGGGTTGGGGCGGAGCCTGTTTGCAAGAAAACAGCTAGAAAATAGATGCACCTTGGATCGGCACTTGGACTCAACAGTTAATTATATAGGTGCCAGATCTACAAGTCTTGCCATAGTTGGGTGGGGATTTCGGGTTTCTCTTCACTCTTCACTTTGCATCATGTCCCGGAGATGTCCCGTCATTCCAGAGCACTATATATAGTCAGCAGCCAAAACCATGCCACCAGTACATGAGTGTCATCCTCCACACTCGTTTCCAGACGCCGTCCGACGGCGTTTTTCCCGCGGTTTGTCGGGTGGTGAACTCTTTCTGCCAGGCGGAGTTCACCATCGTCTTGCGAAGCTTGCTGCATGGCCTGCGGCTCTTCTACAATGATGCGGTGATGCCGAACGATGCCGAGCTGGAGGTGGCGATTGACGAGTGCTTCAAGAGGTGGGCCGAGCTGGTCGAGCTTTGGGAGACGGGGAGGCGGGTGATTTGGTGGGCGAGGTGCGGGGGATTGAGTGGGCACCTCTTCACATGATTTTAAAGTGTGGAACCACCTGGTGCTTTTGCCGTGGCCATCCGTGACCCAATTGACGTGCCTCCGATCGAATTGGTCGCATAAGCCATGCCAGCAAGCGGATGGTCCTGTTCAACCGCCCCCGAGTGGGCTTTTTCCTGGAGAGCAAGGTCTGTCCGGCCTCAAGGACGATCTCAAACAGAAGCCACTCCCCTTTGGCAGCTCTTCAAGCTCGAACTAACCTGCGGTCAACATTTGAGATCATTTGAGCATAGCCGACTTAGCCGTGGAAGGAGACTTGCTGGAACAGATCTGGGAACATGTCACGATGGTCACGAGTCTTTGTGTTCAACCCATCAAGGGTCTACATGGGCAATTTTGCTGGACACTGGGCACTGACTGGACCACCCTCTGAACTGAACCTCATTCTGCTATATTCTGCTTCATTGCTTGATGCTGATAAAGCGCCGCCTTTCACGCGCTTTCTTCCGGAGACCCCTTCCGCCCTGAAACCTTCGAGTTGATCCATGAATGCAAAGCGAACGAGGATTGATTGCGATCGGTCCGGCTACATCACGCTGGGTGAGTTCCTGGTGTATGCCTATCGAAACCGCCTCGAGCTGAGTGGGGCCCGTTTGTTGCTTGAAGATCCCATGAACCGAGCAATTACGGAGTCGATTTCCAGAAAGGTCATAGGTAGTCCTTCTTGTCATCGATCAGGTGTGAATCTGAGGTTGGTGATGGGGGGTGCCAGCTGCTTATGGGGCCTTGGGATGCCTTGGGCCTTGGGGTTTTCTTGTGTTTCTTCTTCCGGTGCACACATGATGTGGTAGGACCTCTTCAATTGCCGGACCCCTGTATGTCCAGATGCCAATGTCGTAGGCATTGGCCTTCTAGCTAAGTAGGGGTTGCCAGTTGCAGCTTCTCCCAGTCATTTCAGTCTTGGCCAAGCGACCGACGAAACCGCCCGAGGTGAGTTGCAGGAGATGTTCGAAACGGTGACGACCGAGGACGAGACTCTCAGAATTGATCAAGACGTGAGGGAAACGATCGGAGAAACATGACTGAGTATATATATCATCCTATGAAACGCGAGCAGAAACATACCGAGAAAAAGAGAGCATGAGAAAGTTTCATCCGATCACGTTTCCGTGGAACCCTCCGGGTGCACAGTAGAGGAAGTCATTTTGGTATATATCTGGCATCTTCTGGCATTATTCGAGAGTCTCGGGCGGCGATCATCGTCCACCATGCGCCAGTTTGCATGCGGCATGTTGTTGTTCAAACCCATCCGAAGACCTGCCGGAATGTAGCTCTCTGATACACACACGTGCAAGTTCTTGCTGGGCTTGAAGCTCTCCCAAGAAGGGAAACCACCGAAACCAGTTATATAATACCTGCCGGAATGGACTCATAGCTCTTGGTCTGGCAATGTAGCAGCCTCATGCAGCAACAACCAGATGGATGTGTGCGTATTCAAGTTGGGAGACCCCCAGCCATTGGCTTTTGAGTGGTATTGGTCTATATGTCCCTTCTTTCAGGGGGTCAAACAGGGAGGTCGTCTGCGTCACATAGACCACTTCTACTTCCTGCGTCACGCCGCAGGACATCCGGATCTTTGAAGATCCGGTACCCTTCAAGAGGCAACCTGCGAGTTCGGCAGGAGCGGAGTTCGCTTCGAGTTCATTTCAGGAGTTCGCTCTTGGCTTCGAAGGGAAGCGGAAGATGAAGTTGACCCGCTGTCTTTGGGTCCACAGGTTTGATGCCGAAGATGTTCAAAGCAGATGCTCAATGTGCATCTTTGTTGAGTGCCTTCAATTGGGGCCAGCATGGGCCAGCTAGCCAGGTCATCCCCAGAACATCCACATATGGTAGATGGCCAGAAGGGGCCAAAGAATGCATCAACCAATTTGGGTTTTATAAACTGAATTACTTTCAACCTCAACTTCACCAAAACAACAAGCTGTCAGAACCTTTGGTATAGCAACCCCAGGCTGGAGGCTGGAAACCACACCCAATAAATAGCTATTTCTTTTTTTACCTCTCTCTATCTATATATATATAGGTGACATGCGAGATATATGATGACTCTCTTTTGAGGTATTTATAATCATATAATATATATAGAGGTTTGCATTTGTTATAACATATATATATATATAGACACACACACACACACTGTATGTCGTTTCAATCTGTGTTTGCTTTCGGGTCACTCCGGCCCTGCGCCGGAGCCTAGGAGCCCGGGCGGACGCCGCCGCGTCGCCCGACGCGCGGCCGGAGTCTCGGGAGTCAGAGCCGGCGATGCAGAAGCGGCCCTCCGAGCCGATCGACGCCATGCGGAAGCGGAACTCCTTGCACACGGAGGGGGTGGGCCCAGGAAGGGCGGAGGGGGGCGGAGGGCAACTCCGATGTGTTGGTGATCCCAGGATTCTTGGGGGGTGGGAAGGTGTGGGGAAGTTGGCTGGTTATGACTCGCCCATCTCGTGACTCGCCAGCGGTCCCTCGTGGCAATTTGATCATCTCGGACGATCAAGGCAGCTCGGTTCTCTGTGCAGGCACCAGCAGGCATCTGCAGTAATACAATTTGAGACCATTTTTGACAAACTTTACAAAGGCGACTCTGACTCTACGGGGTGCCTTGCATAGAAGACTTTCACTGATCTGGAAATCCAAGTGGCCAAGTGCCGGATCTTCCGCCAAACTGGGTGTCAGAAGTGGTAGCAGAAGGTGCCCGACTTTCAAAACTATGTGCACAACACGCCTTTCCCGGTCCTCGCCACCTCGGTCGTGCTCGCCAGGAGGGCAGCCTCAAGCGCCACTCCCTGCAGGTGCCAGACGACGCGCCGCTCTCCGCGCGTGCGCCGCGGAGGCGGCACACGGGGGGCATGGTCCGCCCCGTCAAGGCCGACGGACAAGGCGCTGAGACACCGGAACCAGGAGGTGTTCTTGTGGGACGGGGTCCGGTGCGCGTTTTGGGGATGTTGGAGGATGTTTGCGCCAGAAGGGGCCGAAGTGCAAAGGATGTATCATGCATCTCGGATGCGGAAAAGACGGGAAGGAACTTTCTGTTTCTGAAAGGGTTTGAGTTCCCAGACGCTCGCCAAGCATGAGTTATTCAAGACCACCAGGGTTACTGCACTTCCCAGTCTCTCCATGTCTCTCCTTTTTGATTTCCGTATCTTCCATGACATGATGGATGGAGTTTAAACACAGCTGCCGAGCTTGATGGCTCGGTTCAGTTGGACCTTTCAAGTGGGAGCGGGCGCGGTGAACGACCGCGTCGCCTCAGGCACGTGGTGTGGGAGCGTCGCCTACGCCAAGTTGACGGGTAGGACTGGTGACGAAAAAGGGATGGCAGATGACAGGTGGCCAATGTTGGGCTCAAACGCCAAGTGGTGTATGTCGTTGAGGGACGTGCTGAAGAACTTGATTTTCCAGTGTTCCACCTCTTCTTTTCCTTCCTTTGGCTCAGAGTTGCCTTAAGACAAGTCTTAAGACACATGTTTCCACCTGCAGTTCTTTTCATCCATCAAAAGGTCAA